TCAGGGCTCAGTCACTGTGTGTGCAACATATGACAGGCCAAAGCTGCAGGGAAGGATGCATAACTCTCTTTGTTCATTGTGATTGGTAAAGGAATTTAAAGTTTCTTCATCTCACTACAAGAAAACCATTTTAATTCCATTCTGCCGTATAGGGGTGTTGTGATCTAAAGTTAGATAACTAAGAACATTTGTCTTTACATTGCTCTATTGTGAAATTTAATATAATTGATGCCCAGATAGTATTGGTGGCTGTATATTAAAAATATGCATCATGCACATCTGACAGAGCTGGAAGCCAAAACACAGTAGGTCAGTCTAGCAAAATCCTAGGGCTTGGTTTCAGAGATGCTGACCGTTCTGAGCACCCACTAATTGTAACGGGACTTGTTAGTGCTTAGCACCTCTGGAAATGAGGCCTAAAAGCCTCAAGCTGAAATGTTACCTGGACAAGAAATGGCGTCAAAGTTTTTGCCCACTGGACATGGCCAACCAGAGAGCTGCCAGTTAGAAGGTAGTGTGGCTAGAGAGCTATAAGTTGGTCTTACACTTAAATTTTGCTGGTATAGCTATGTTAATTAGGACTTTGGAAAAATCCCCTCCCCTCCTTTAACCATCATAGTTAAGCTGGTGAATGTCCTATTCCAAGGTAGGGATGTTAGCGACTAATAAACTAGTCAACTAACGGATAAGCAAGAGCTTATCAATTAGCACTATTGATTTAGTCGCATCCCCCCCATCTGCCGCTCTGCACTGTACAGCTGAAAGAAACTGGAGCGCAAAGGCACTGAGTCAGTCCCTGCTCCACACATTTCTTTTCATTCAGCCTGGTGTCTCTGTTCCACGAGGAGTAACAGTAGAAAGCCTAATTCGGAGTCCGAACTACCAGGGATTTAAAAATGGCGGCACCCGGCAAGATATTTAAATCCCGGGCTTCATTTGCAACTTCGATTGACTACATTAACCACCCTAGTTTGAACTAGGGTGGTAGTGTAGACATACCCAAAGATATTAATGGAGGAGGTGTGGGGTCTGAGATGGAAACTGGGTAGAAGGGATTGTGACCTAGGGCAGGGATGTAGGAAGGGGTGTAGAGGGAAGGGATCTAAGTTCCCTCTAGGGTGCATGCCTGCACAGGCACGCACAAAGAATTTTAATCCTGTCCACCTTCTCAAGCAGAGCTGCATAGCACTGGCCTTCCTTGATGTGGAAGGCAAGTTGCTGGTAGAGGGTTTGGTGGGTGGGAGAGTGGGGAGCCAGGGTCGCATGGCGTATGCCGAAACTGCGGCCGAAGCCAGGACCACATGGCAGCTGCTGGGCTGGGCAGCAGTCAAGGCTGGGGCTGCATGGACTTGCATGGCCCAATGGAAGAGTGGGAATAGTAACCATAGCCATAGGAATGTACTTGTGGGGGAAAAGTGGCTTATTAATTCCTTGGCTGTGCTTGGTGGGCTTGTCCATCATGCAGCACAAGTCCAAATGACATGATGATGAATAAGGAATTTGGTTGTGTGGGAGAGGAGGCAAAATGGATGTACCGATGGAATGTCCTGAAATGTAGCTCTAGCTAAATAGAAGAATACTCTTTTCTTACTAGTGCTTAATTGCTCCTAAACACATTTTTAGTTTTATCATCTCTAGTCATGTGGGTATAATGTGATGCAGGGATAGCAATACACTTTCTTGAAAACATTACATCCTTTATTTGTAAACAGCATTCAGCAGGCCCTCTACCATTACAAAACCATACCCCCCCCAAAAAAGCGGGAAATATTTAATACACAATATAAACCCCCTATTGCTACATCACCTGTGGCCCCATTTTCTGCTTTCCCTTCTTTACACATTTCCCCCACACATGCACTTTGACAGCCTAAGAGGGGAGGGGAAGTTTCCACCTGAGAGAGTTTGAAGGAGGAAGGCTGCACAGAATTTAGTTGCCCTCCCCAGCCACTCTTGGGGCCTGAATACACAGACCACCCTGACACAGAGCTGTCCAAGCTACTGTAGGATGGAGGGTATGCTGTACATGATAACACAACAGAAGTAGGAAGGCGGCAAGAGATGGGACTAGTTCTCTCTAATTGAGCACTCTCCTCCTCCCTTTGCTGCTGCTCCTGTTCCAGGGATTGCTTTGGAAGTTCCTGCTCCTTTATTGAAACCCTTTCCTCCACCTGGGTGGAGAGCCTCAGACTTTCTTCCTGACTTTCGTTCCTCTTCTTCTGTTACTGGCCCTACTGGTCTGCCTTTGCAAAAACTCCTCCATAATTACATCACAAAAATGCTTCCTTTTGGAATAGTCTATGGAGGCACATTGGACCATAGACTGAGTTCCTGAAGAGCAGGAGGTAAATAACCCAAGGATCATAAAACAGGACGAGAAACAGAATAACGGTCTCTTCCAGCTCAGTGAGGAAGCTCTAAATTAATTTTGGTGGCATCTCAAGGACATAAAATGTAATATTTATAAAGTGAACTAACACATATTGTAAAGTAGATGAATCATACTGTCTCTGGACAGCCTTGTTAATTGCAAAACAAGCAGTCCTGTGGCATCTTAGAGACTAATAAAAATATATGGTATGATGAGCTTTTGTGGGTAAACCCACTTCATTGTCCCATCTGATGAAGGGGAGTTTATTAATGAAAGCTCATGATACTACATATATATTTTTGTTTGTCCTGTGGCATCTTAGAAACTACTTGTTGTTTTTAAAGTTACAGACTATCACAGCTACCCCTCTGAGACTTATTAATTGCAGTTGCAGAAGCGAAGAATAAGAGGGTAAGTCATGTGCGAGCTACAGCAGCATCATGTTAATTCCCTCATGGACTCTGCCCAAATCCTGGCCAATGATAGCTGCAAACTATTTCTGAAGCATGACCTCCAGATAGTTAGTCACAATGTAGCAAAGGATGTATTTTCCAGGCCACTCCTATAACTCACTAGTCCACTCCACTCACAAATGTGGTGTTTGGTCACTATACATTTGAATGCTTCAGCTGCATACACTGCAGGTTTCCCTCCATCAGCTAGGAATAACGTCTCCCTACAAGAACAGTTATGTCTTCCAAAATATGAAAGGCCTGATAAGTCATAAAAAGTCTTTTGCAACAAGGACTATACAACCAGCCCCCACTCCATATGGCAATTAGTTAAGAATTTTTTATGAAACAAAAAGTCGATTATAATTTTAAATTTACCATTGAAATAATACAGTCAAGCGCCTGTGAACTCTGGCATAAAGCAAAGAATATTCATTGTCATATTTCTTATACATTATTTTTATTAATAGACATTCAAGCTTTGAAGAATGCTTATGAGTTGATCAAATCAGACAATCAAGGGAAATCTGCATTTGATTAATCAGAAAGCTTTAGCTCTGGTTTATGCCTTGTGTGCAGAAAAAGCATTCCAGGTAGCTACATTTTCTAAGGTGTCTGTTTATTTGTAATAAATAAAAAATTGTCTAGAATTATATTGGCTTGACTTCACTTCTGATCCAAAATAAAATATAGCCCTGAGACACAATGTGAATGGAGAGAAATATGCAATATGCTATTATCTAGGTGTGCAATATAGAGTGTAACCTACACAAGCTCAGAAATGTCAGTCTGAAAGGCCAATTAACATAGCTCCCTGAAAGGAAAGCCAGATTTAATTGAGGAGGAAGTCCAGCTGGGTATTGGTCTGGAGAGAGCTATTAACTGAGGAAGTTGGCTACTGAAAATTTTGCAGCATTAATTTTCTTTTCATTTGACTTCATATTAAATAAACATTTAAATTCATTCACCTTGTTAAGTATCCCTTCGTTTAGTATTCTTTCTTCCATAACATTAAATATATATATATATATATAATATGTATTAATAGTTTAAGTGCCACAGTGGTGTGGAGGCAGGAAAAGGGAATTTGTGTGCAGATATATATATAATATGTATTAATATTTTAAGTGCCACAGTGGTGTGGAGGCAGGAAAAGGGAATTTGTGTGCAGCCATCTTGGTCCTGTTAACAAGAGAGCAAGAGTTAGGCTAAATCTGTGGCCTGACAACGCAAGATCTGTAATTAGACGCTGCCTTTGCCTCTCACCTCCATACAGAGATAAGGATAGAATGCTGACTCTGGCAGGGACCTTGAGCTAAAGAGCATCTGGATGGAACTAAATAACTGTTAGCCATTGGTGTTTGTAATGGGAAGGAGACTAATTGTTATTATATTTAATAGACAGTATAGAAACTGCTTCATAATTGCTTGTATTCGAAGATCTGCCTGGGGACGGTGGGAGGGGGGGGCTTCCTCCCCCTGTCTGAACCAGTTTTTCCCTTGCTGCAGCTCATAATAAAACAGCCTCTGGCTACTTGTTGCTTACAAACTCAAAGTGAGGACAATGTTTTCTTCCACAATGGCACACATCCGAACAAGTGCACATGACCTCAATACTGGTACACAAGACAAAACTCACTCTGCTCATGGATGGAAAAATCTTAGAGGGAACACTGCTAGGGATGAGAATGTGTATCCGAGTACACGGTTCACGGATGAGCCTGGGGTAGGGTCTTATCAAATTCAGTCCATTTGGGTCAATTTCACAGTCATAGGATTTTAAAAATTGCAAATTTCATGATGTAAATGTAGCAGTCCTGACCTAAAATGGGAACTTCTGTGCTGTTGTTTCAGCCCTACTGCATTCAGAGCTGGGCAGCTGGAGAGCAGCAGTTGCTGAGAGCCTGGCTATGAAAGCAGCACCACCACTAGCAGCAGTAAGGAGGTTATGGTATGATATTGCCACCCTAGCAAGTTTCATAGGGAGAACAGTGTTTCTCAAACCGAGTACATTGACCCAAATGGGAATTGTGGGGGTTGTGATGGTTACAAGGTTACCCTTGGGGGATCATGATACTGACAGCCTTCCTTCTGTTCTATCTTCAGTGTGGGATGGTCAGAAGGCACACAGAAGTAAGGGTGCTTTCCTGCCCTAACCCCAGTTTGAGAAACACTGATCTTCCGATGAAATCTACAGAGTGAAAGCTGTGTGTCAACACAGCCTTGTCACTAAACGCTGACTGATGTGGACATACCCAGTTTTAAAATGAGAATAGGAGATCTTTGTAAAACAAATGCTACAGCTCAAAATGGAAGGTATGCTCTGGATGCAGAGATTTTTAGGGCTTCAAGGTCTTAGGGGGCATTTCCCAGAGGCCTCCCCCCTCCATGCTAAAAAATTCCAGGGGCGCTGGACATATTTACAAGTGCTGCACTTTGGGACAGCTCCAGAGGAATGTGAGCCCCGCGGAAATGTCTGGTGACCTTCTGTGGCTTGTGTTATGCAGAAGGATGGAGCAGCCCATCATGACCGTGCTTGTAAACTCTCTGGAACGCGTGTAATGGTCACTCCGACTTACCGCCTGCTGCAGGTGCGCGCACACGTGTAGCGCCCCGCGGGTTTGCCTTCGGCTCGGAGGAGGGGAGGAGAGAACAAGCCAAGAACATTTTACCCGGATTGGTTCCAGCGCCATGCGGATGCAGCGCCCTCCTCGTCGCTCGCCCGGCGCCTCAGGGCAGAGAAAGGGCGCATCAGCACTTCAGAGCGGCGGCCACTGATTTGTGGATCGCGCAAGTTCTGCGAAGCAGCGCTTGCCCGCCCGGTGGGAGGAAAGAGAAGGGAAGCTGCAATGGAGTCAGGCAGCCGCTCCCTGAGCGGGCTTGGTGTGAACTGAGCATGCTCCGTAATACTAACCTCTGAGCTCGGCCCCGGCTCTCACCGAGCTGCCTTTCTGGATCTCCGTGCAGAACGGGGGCAGGCGAGAAGGACGTCGGCGTCTGGAGACGTTCCCTTGGGCTGCGGTGTCCAGGACTCCCCGCCATGGGCAGCGAGGAGGCAGAGACCCAGGAGACTTTGCAAATCCTCGGTGGGGGTAAGAGAGTTTGTTTCTTTCGGACCCCGCTCTGCTGAACTTTCCCGAGTGCGAACCTTCCCCCGGGGCTCCCGGGCAGTCGCCGCGCTCACCCCAAGCAACCTTGGAATCCTTACGAGACTCCGGGCTGGCGCCTCTCTGGGTCGTTTGTTTGTGTTTGCTGAAGGATTCTTCGGGATCCCTGTGCAAGGGGGAGGAGACGCTCCTTCCTCTGCCCCTCGCAAGAACTGAGAGCTACTGTACCAAGATGCCTGCCACTGCTTGGCCTCTTCACCTGCCGACCTCGTACTGCTGCAGTTAACCCAGAGCATTCTGGTCTGGGCTAATGGGCTCCGATGGGACAGCTAACTGAAACGGAACAGACTTTTGGGTTGTATAGTAAAGGTTTATGGCAAGGAAAGGTTCTTGCTGGCTATTTCAAAACTCTCAAGCTAATTGAGATCCTAGCCACATAACGGAAAGTCTTACAAGTGGGACCTGAAGTCAGTATTGTTAAATAACTAGCTTAATGCAGCTTGGGAAAAGAGCAAAAGGGTTTTTTTTTTATTTTTGTAGTAACTTCTGGCCTCAACCTTACTCTGGAATGCAACTTGACAGGAGTCCTCTCTCCCCTCCCCCTTTCTTTTTTTTGTTTTAAACAATTACTCTATGAAGTATGTAACAAACAGGAAGGCGGTTCAGGTCTTAATCCTTGTGCCCTGGGATCAGGAAAAAAGAACGGCAAATTTAAATACGGTATCTGTTACAAAACTTTGATTGAAGGATACCATGAGCTGGCAGGTGACCTACACCTTTGAATGTTTCTTAAATCTTTATTAGTAAACTGATTGTTTCTGGGCCTCTGGGCTGTAAACAAATTTTAGGTGAGGGATGAGGTGCAGGGTTTTTTTTTTAATTCTAACTTAATGATCATTAATAGGCTGTAAACAAGAGACTACAACTGTATACTAGAAGTTATCATCTTACCTAAAGGCACCCAAGGAAATGATCAGGCAGCCAGCACTCAGGTGGGCAGTTCTTACTCCCACAGGTAATCCATTTAACTTCAGTGTAGCTATTTGAGACAGGGTGTCAGTGTCAGATCCTTTTGTCATTGATGTTGCAAGCTGCTCAGTGTGGAAAGACACTGGGGCTCTTAGAAGCCAAAGTGACTGAGTGTGAAGGGCAATCTGTACAGATCAGCTTTCAGGGTTGGGGAGGCTTCACTTAAGGTACAGAAATATATGCAGAAAATGATGGGATTAGGGTCTTAATGGCAGAACCTCAGTTACCTTGTCCTGAACCACAGCTTTAAGTTACTCATTCCAGATTCCTAGAGGGCTCTTCCCTTCTAAACAGATGGCCTGCAATTTTGTGTCCCAGTTAATCAGAGCCTAATACAAATCTTTTTAACTCAAGAAAATGGCAGACCAGAAGTTCCCGCTGAAGAGTCAAGCAGGCTTACCAGAGATCAGCTCTTCACAATGGCAGCAACAGCTTGTTTGAACTTCAGTTCAATGATTTGCTATTCAATCCTGGGACCCTTTTTTCCAAGAGAGGTAAATCAATATGCAGCTCAGTAAACTATTATTCAGATGTCTAAAAAACTAAGAAGTAACTTTTAAAAAAGTAATCAGATAGTTGATATTGCAGATAATTGATATTGCAGTCTTAATGACTTTATGTGAGGACAGGTTCCTATTGCACTAGGCACTGTAAGAGAGAGTTCCTGTCCCAAAACACTGATGACCCATTTTATGAGGCAGACAGAGAATAGAGGTGAAGTGATTTGCCCAAAGTCACAGAAGAACCTGGAACAAAGCCCGGATCTCTAGACTTCCATTCCAGTGCCTTATTCCTTAGACCTCTGTGTCTAGTTCTGGGGCCCCCACTATAGAAAGGATGTGGACGTATTGGAGAGGGTCCATTGGAGGGTGACCAAAATGATTAGGAGGCTGGAGCGTATGACCTATGAGGAGAGACTGAGGGATTTGGGTTTGTTTAGTCTGCAGAAGAGAAGAGTGAGGGGGGATTTGATAGCAGCCTTCAACTTCCTGAAGGGAGGCTCCAAAGGATGGAGAGAGGCTGTTCACAGTAGTGAGGGATGGCAGAACAAGGAGCAATGGTCTCAAGTTATAGTGGGAGAGGTCTAGGTTGGACATTAGGAAAAACTATTTCACTAGGAGGGTGGTGAAGCACTGCAATGGGTTACGTAGGGAGGTGGTGGAATCTCCATCCCTAGAGGTTTTTAAGTCTCGTCTTACCAAAGCCCTGGCTGGGTTGATTTAATTGGGATTGATACTGACTTGGGCAGGTGACTGGACTTGATGACCTCCTGAGGTCTCTTCCAGCTCAATGATTCTATGATCCCCTGCCCTCCAATGCACTTACAACTTCCTCCTCAACCTTTCCTAGGATAAAGTTTGGCTGACAGGAAAACCACCTTAACTGTTGCAATAAATTGAGTGAGTTGAGATAAATTAATATGGAACCCCATGCCACTTCAGAGTAACCATTTCAGAGCAGGGCTGGGGAACCTTTTTCCCATCAGGGGCCACTGTCCCGTAGGGAAAAAAAAATCAGTCACAGGGCTCACACAGCCCAGTCGAGGGGGCTGGTGGCTTCTGGCTTCCCCTAGGTTTTTAGGGTTTTGAACTTTCCTGATCAGATGGACTAAACTCCATCGCCATGAATAGCACCTGGTTTGTCTGTTTGGCCCTCATATGGGGCCAAACATGAGGGGTTCAGGGTGTGGGAGGGGCTCCAAGTTGCAGCAGAAGGTTGAGCAAGGGAGGGGGGAAGGGCTCTAGGTGGGGCTGTGGATGAGGGTTTTGGTGTGCAAGAGCTTGGAATGGGGTTGCAGGGTCTGAGTGGGAGTTAGGATGCTGAAGCAGGCTCAGGGCTGGGTTGGGCTATAGGTACAGGATCTGGGAATGAATTTGGGTGCAGGAAGAGGCTCAGGGCTGGAGCGCTTGCCTCAGGCAGCTCCCAGATTCAGAAGCTGTCATGTGTCCCTGCGTGGGGGAGGGCAGGTTGCTGTGTACACTGCATTCCCCTGCAGATGCCACCCCTACTGCTTCCTGGCCAATGAGAATTGTGGGGGTGGTGTCTGCAGGCAAGGGTAGTTAGTGTATGCTGTTTCCCCAAGCACTCTCTGGGACAGGCATAAGGATCTTGTGGAAAAGGGTTTTTTGTGCAAAGTGGGCACGGCCACACTGCCTGTTTTTGTGCAAAAACAGAACGAAAAAGTATGCAACTGAAGCGCGGGAAAATGCTAATCTGCGCTTCATTTGCATTGGCTCTTGTGGCAAAATTCAGTGTAGCCACAGCCTTAGGGAATGCTTTCTGCCCCTGTGTAAGGGCCAGCTAGCTACCTCAAGTGCAACTCAGAATTTCCATCCTTCATACCTACCTCCAGTTGAAATAGATACGTCTGTACTTGACTACAGCAATCATAAATTTGTGGTCTAAGGTGATTTTTAAATTTCTGTAGAATTACTGCTGAATCTCCCACTCCTCTTTAAAACAGAAAATGCTTTATGACCATGGTGGCAGGTACAGTGCTAGAAGAGTAAAAATGTAAGACTTGATCAGGAAATATTTTAACCCAATGTTAACTTTGTGTATGGTGAACTTTTTTTTGTCCACATTTTAAATCTGATTGGTATGGTGGTTTCCTTTCACAGGCAGAGAAAAAGGGTGCCAGTGATACAGTTGTTGGACTGATTTTTGGATGCTTTGCTTTATTCAATTTCTTGACTTCTTTAATATTAGGCAATTATGTAAGTATATTTAATGTTTTCAGTATAGACTTAATTATAGAATACTGCTTAGAGTCACTAGCACCTGGTCCAGACAAACTGCACTTGTCAACTACTACCCAGATCCTGGCAAGTTCTAAGTTACCTTATTATTTGCTTCCCTCCATCAGTCTATATCACGGGTGGACAAAAGGGCCTCCGCGGGATGGATTCGGCCCGCCAAACAGGTTGATCTGGCCCATGGAGGTCCTGCCACTCCACTGCCCCCAAGCCAATCAGGGCCTAGGGATGTGGGAGTGTACAGTGCTTAGAGCCAACCCTAGCAGTTGACTCTAAGCGCCACCAGAGGGCAGGGAGTGAGTGACTTCATCATGCCCCTTACAGGATGGGGGCAGGATAGGAGACTTTGTGTGATCCCCCCACTACCAGCAGCGCAGGTGCCTACAGGAAACTGCCAACTGTTCAGGACAGCTGGCGGGTCTCTCTGGGGGAGCATAGGACAGACTTCACATACTCCCCCACTCAGACCAATCAGGGACTGGGGATGGGGAAGCATGGAAGTGTCCTGGCCCCACCTCTTCCACCTGAAGCTCTGCCCCTTCCACGGGGGCTAAGAGCCTCTTGAAAAATTTCTGAAGTGGCCCCTGGTCAAAATGTTTTGCCCACCCCAGTCTATATCCACCACCCTTTTCTTCCTGTATCATGAATGGCAGGTGATGGATGGGTTTGTGTAGGCTAATCCCAGGCTGGCTTGCCACTTCTGCCTGGGGCCCTGTCCTTCCTTCCCCTCCTGGAGATCAGAGGGACCCTCCCCGAAAGCTATAGAGCTATAGCAAAGACTTCCTTGTCGACAGCGGCGCGTCCAGACTGCCCCGATCTGCCAACAAACAGCTGATCATCAGCTGGTCGGCAGAGCGCGGCAGCCATTTAAATTTAAATGAAGCTGCGATTATTTAAATCGCGGCTTCATTTCCCTCTGCCGATCAGCCTAATCTACATGGCTCCATCGACGGAGCCATGTAGTTTAGACACACCATAAGATGCATACCCTATCATCTTGAATTACCCACTAGCAGTTAGATATATGAGCAAAGAGGATGACTAAAATGGCTGCCTTAAGAGCACCATTAGTGCCTGCTATAGATAATGCTGGATGTATGTGTGACACTTCATCTAACTGATGTAAGAACGCTGCTGCATTTTACCAATGTACAGAAGCTATAGCAAACAGCAGTAGCAAGTTAGCTCTACCAAGGGCTTACCATTGGGGAAACTAGGTTAAGTCACTTAACCATTTAGAATATTTTTAGGTTTGGTTGAAAGCTAAGTATGGCTATCAGTGATTTTTTTTCTTATAGTGTGCACAGTGTTTTTGTTTCATAATGCCACAAGTGAGTTTCCTTGACTAAAAATGGACTTGAAAAGATTAAAATGGAACATTTATTCCTCACCAATTGCAGCTTGTACAAATTGGAGCCAAATTCATGTTTGTGGCTGGGATGTTTGCCTCAGGATGTGTTACAATCCTGTTTGGGTGAGTGTTTTCCCTTGCATCTTAGTTCTAGTGTGACGCTTGTGTTGTAATCATATGAAAAACAGAAACTCTTGCTGTTAAAAATGAGGGCTAAAAGTCAAAAGACCTCTGCTCTGTTTATGACCTTGGGCTGGTTGCTTATGCTATCTTGGCCCTTAGTTTTCCTCCTCTGTAAAGTGGGAATAATGCTTCTCTAACTCTTGGGGTTATAAGGTTTGTTTAGTATTGAGACCCTTAGCAGGAAGATGCCATAAATGCAATTTGCAATTATAGTTATTTGAAAAACCCTAAGGATAATTGTATAAGTGCATGCAAATTCTAGTTAACAAAACAGGATTTTTAATGGTTTTAAATCCATTTGGAAATCAGAAGTTTAGGCTAGCAATTATAGGGGCTAAGGCACTAACTTCTGCAAAAGATGGTTTTATTTTTTAAAATGATCATCTAGTCCCCTTTGTGTCCTAACTGATGTAATTGAGGAGGGTTTGCAATGTTTCAGGTTTTGATGCAATTAGGACAATGTCATCTGCGAAAAGGAACATCTGAAGAACCCTGCCATCACTCAGAAATCCATCTTTCACTTCTGTCTTCCACAGGACATTTTTCATGACACTGGAAAAAAATTCTGGTGAATAAACACATCCCTGCTTAACTTCGAAGATCTAGGAGTTATTAAAAAGTGTGATTTCTGTAGTTACGTTCATCATGGAATCTTGTATGATTCTAACAAACAGGGAAGATGCCCTGTTTCTTTTTAAATCTCTTTTGACTGTGTCAAATTTGCATATGAATTTCATCACAGCTGCAGTCTGTCTTTGAATTTCTTTTTGACTGAAAATGGCAACTTGAATTATTTCTTGTGCTCTGAGTTATTAAAAAGTGTGATTTCTGTAGTTACGTTCATCATGGAATCTTGTATGATTCTAACAAACAGGGAAGATGCCCTGTTTCTTTTTAAATCTCTTTTGACTGTGTCAAATTTGCATATGAATTTCATCACAGCTGCAGTCTGTCTTTGAATTTCTTTTTGACTGAAAATGGCAACTTGAATTATTTCTTGTGCTCTGTC